ACCTCCCTCTGTTCACAGTTCACCAATCCCATTTCGACAAATGGTGCCTGCTCAGAGAGCCCTAATTGTCACTTTTCTTTGATGATTGGCGTGGGATTTTGAGGCTATAAATAGCCTTTTAGCCGAAATTTCAAGGGTCGAGCTCGATTGCTTCACGCCCAGAAACCCAAAATAAGAGCCCCATTAGAAAGCTGATAGAGAAAATATTATGGGAATTATTTTAGGGAATTTGGAGTACTTTTTAGTTGTTTTTTTTTTTAAGTTTAATTTTAAGTTTTTGATTATTAGAGAAGGTATTATTGAGGCTATAAGATGAAGAAGGGAAAGATTTAGAGGAAAAGCTTGGAGGCTCTGTGACATTTTTTATTGGGCTTTATTTTCCAAATTTCTAAGGTTATGATTGTTTCGTTTGTTCTAATTGAGAACTTAAGTCAAAAAGTGAATTAATGTGAGAAAAAATACTGTAGTAAAAAAAATTAAATTTAAATTTAAATTTTTATGAGAGAAAACATTAAAGTAAAAATCTGAGTTGTAATTCGAACTAGCGAAATAAATGGGGTCTAATTTTTTTATTTTTGTTCTTTAATTATGCAAGAACCAATATCATCTTTTTATTTATTTTTCTTTATGTTTTATTTTTTCTTGCTATAGCTATGATGTAGCCTGACTATGATATTTAAATTTCTTTTACTCAAATTATTCAATGTTTATTTTCTAAGATTGACTGTTCTTTTTTGTTCTTAATGTTTTTTATTAACTGACCACTAATTAGATGATTTATTATTTCATAATGAGACAGAAAATATATTTATGTTTTTTGATTGTTGTGTTGAATGCTAAAAATTGTAAGTGAGATAGGAATATACTTGCATGGTTTGTATGATCGTTATATGAACATTCATGACTGCTTGACAATTGAAGGAATTGAATAAATTAGGGATTTTTGACTGTCAACTTAGATAATAAACTTGAATAATAAGAATTAAGAAATTAAAGTGGATTAATATAGTGAAATCCTTTGCTACAATGTTTTAATTATTTATTATTTTATTTCTCTATTTTTATTTGTTTCTTTATTATTATCTCTTATTCGGCCGTTTAAATAATTCTAGAATTGACTAATTGCGGTACTTAATTAAAATTAACACAATCTTCGTGCTTTACTTATCATTTTATTATTTGTTAGTAATATTGTGCACTTACAATTTTCACAAGAATAGCATTAATCCTTTGGAATTCTCAGTAAGCAGTCCAAAGGAGAGATCATTTATTGTGAGAGAAGCTAAGGACACATGCTGGTTACAGTAGTTAAAAGATCACTTTGGTCCTTGCAACGACGATGCGTGGGATAGTAGAAGCCTTTTTTTTTTTTTTTTTTTACATGCAAACACTTTCGTTATCGTACTTCATTATTTGTACAGATGAGACTTTTGAATGTCATATGTTTGTATGATGATAATTTATGTCTCTTGCTTCAACACAATATTATATATGTTGGCTAATGTTGTTTCTTTGAAAGTACGATATTTCCTTGATTTATGAATTACGAGAATGAGACAAACAAAAAAAAAATCCATTTGCGGTTCTTGGGATTATATGTTCGATATGATGATCTAGGTCTTTAACTCGATTCGTCTATGAAGTAAAGATAAAATATAGGTTACTTTTAGTTCTTCTATCATTTCATTTGCATCTCATTATAACTTGTATTGAATTTCCTTTAAGTAGTCTCTAGTGCTGTATTTCGTTGTGTTCCCTAGTAGGAAAACTCAATCTGCCCATTTTGCCCCTCATGTCTGCCAGATAGAACTAGTTTCCAATGTTAGAGCTTCTTACTATATATGGTTGCTTTTGTTGCAGGCACGCGGAATATGGAGAAAGCAATAGAGATAATTTATTATGTTGCCAAAGCTTCCCTTCATGCATGTTATTTTTCAATTGCGAAATTGCGGGCAAAAGTCGTAACTGATCCGAAGAGGGATTTTGAAGATGTTCTTATGTTCTCAAGTTTTGGAGTTGTTGTCGATCTCTGGAGCGCTGTTGGGTGTTTAAGCGGCGGCTGTGGTGTATGTGCTGACGGCTCGTGGGGGTGATTCTGGGCGGCGACAGTTAGAAATTTTTTCTAGTTTCCTTAAAATAGAATTTTAAAATATTCTGATATAATTTTAAAAATATTCTACTAAAATCCTTTCTAGCATCAGGCACCAACACTGGTGATCTTAGCCATATTCGACTAGAATACTTTCTACCGACGGGCACTGATGTCGGTGATCGAAGAAGAAGAAAAAAAAATCAATTGATAATAATAAAAATAAAAAGAGGAAGAAACCCTAATACAGACCACGTAATGTTTCGGTGCCCGTGGTTTATAACTTTTAACAAGGGTCTGAATGCAACTTCCAATAATGAATATGAATATGCCTTCTCAATACTTGCAATGTGGGTTGAGTAAGCTCCAAGTATGCATGCATACGCTCGGTGAATAGATTAGCCATTAGACCTTGGGAGTTCTCAATTCACATGCATTGATTAGTTCGAGAATAATCAACATATACCAATGTGTGTGTATCTACGTGTGTGCGTTTATTGCGTGTGTGCATATATATATATATATATATATATGACCACAAGTTCCTTGCTGCTTCGCTTCTTCAATAATTGACTCGATCATTTTAAAGAATGGCAAATTAAGATGGTCTCATGTGATGATGCGAAGACAATTTACTTGAGGGAATTATTTGAAGGATGTAGTGTAAACTCAAACATGATTCCATTATCTTAAGCAACCATGACATAAGACCAAATTCCCATCACATCTATCTATCTGGGAGGTTCTAGATATTTCTGTGAAAGAGACCGAATTTTGTATGCCCCTATGTATATATATGTAGAATGTATATGAATATAATATTAGAAGGTCGCTTGTCACAAAGATGGGGAATAGTACTGATGGCAATAAAGCTCTCTCCTACTAAGCAAATACTAAGGCCACCAATCCTAATTCCAATTTTAGTGTCAACTTATGAATTGTAGTAGGTATAGTTTATTGATACGACAATATTTTTAAATATATATATCTGTTAAAGAATGATAACTTATGTGTTGGTACAAAATTGAAATTAGATTTGATATCCCTAACATTATTGTTTAATTTAATATTACATATGAAATTCAGGTTCCTCTTTTCCCCTAATTTCTAGCTGATCTCCAAGCTGAAATCCACACGCCAAGGAAACTCAACAATATTCAGCGCTTGACCATTGACTGCCCAACAAATACATACACTTATCTACTTCACAAAATAACATCTAACTTAACTAATTAGTTGCAACACGTAATTAATATAATAGGTACATTATTTGATGTCATGTTGTCTAATTTGTATTATTTATAAATCTGACACCTAATTACACCATGTAATTCATTCAAGCATTCCATTACTGACTCATCTATTTCAAGGATACATTGATTGTCATAAAACATTATAACATTTCTAAATAATTATTATTCCTTTTACTTCCCATGAATCAATCCAGATATTATCACCAAGTGTGATCACGCAGAGTGTTGAACAATGAAAATTTATCAAATGGACTTAATTATAAGAAATTAAGAATATATAATGAAAGATTTGCACGCCAATCTAATGTTTACATATTGCTGGAAGCATTATAAATTAATCCTGACTATTGTAAGTACTATGAAAAAGTGCAAGTTATTTCCAGACATTTTGCAAAGCATATGATCATTACTCTCATTTCATGATCATAAAACAAAAATGAATATATATTATATAATATATATATATATATATATATATATATATATAAATGATGCTATCACTGAGGTTGCTGTGAATTACGTTCTTGTTAATAACCTGAATGTAATTAAGTTCTTGTTATTTCCCTTCTTAAAACGATTCTATAATTTAATGAGATCCCTCCATATTGATCCATAGCACACATAAGACGCTTGCCCGTTTGTGGAATACATAATATAATGCCAAAATTAGCTAACAGACAAAAACAACCAAAAAGAAAAAAAAAGAAAGAAGAAGCAAAGGTTGGGGAAGTGTAACAATATGGAAAAGAAGTGCAATATGAAAATAAGAGAAAATCAAAAGTTCAAATTGCTAGTTCCAAGAACATATATATACATGTATATGTATATACATATATATATATACAACTAATAATTGTAACAGTATGTATAAATGGGTAGTGTGGGTGACAAGGCAATATGGCAAGTGGGTTAAAGTTGCATGACTCCCAAAAATTATTTCCAATTCCAATTCGAAGAAGTTTCTAATCCACATGGGAAAGATCACCACCATACCCTTTGTCTCACCCTCAAGTTAACTTTCAATTTTCAAACAAGTACAGTTCATGATACCAGCTTCTATTGCACAGACTAACATGTGCAATAACATGAGTACTGTATTTAGTCAACTAGGTCCCGACCACACGTGCAATGCCACCACATGCATTATTTAATTCTATTAAAATTAATTCCAATCCTAGTTCCTAGTTCTAGCTAGTTCCCTAGTTACCCCATTCAAAACGCAAGACACATTAAATTTAGTTTGCTCCGCGTTTTCCTATCCTTCTCTTAGTTTTAGATCAATAACATATATCTAATAATTTGACAGAAAATATAATTTATATATCTATATATATATATATGTACACACAGTGTGTGTATATACATATTTGGGGATTCAATGATATGGAATATTATTGAAAAGTGTTTATTCTAAGAGTACTTATGTCTACCTTGATCAAAAAGCAGGGAAAGCAAATATTTCAATGAAGAATGGACATGTTAACCAACACTAATATTTAGAGACTATATATGGACTGAATTAATGGAATACGACTATACTGTTGATTAAGAGAGTAAATATATAATTAAGCCCAAGAAATTAAACCCGACAGATATCAATATTATCTTCCTTATTATTTTATTTCATCTTCTCATAATGAAGAAAAATAAATGGGGGTTTCTCCGGCCCTTTGGTACTCTAGAAATTTATAAAAATTAGCCAAAATAGGACACATTTTCACTTGAAATGGTGTTAAAATCTGCGACGGTGGTAATTGGTTGGGTGTACATAGAAGAAGAGGAGGAAGTAAGAGGAAGAGATTGTACTGTGGGTGGCAGTGGTGGGGGCGGCGGTGGGGCTGGTGGCGGAGCAGCAATCGAAACCGCGACCCCAGAAGAAGAGAGCAAAGCCATGTGAGAAGAAGGAAGAACATTAGCTTCTCTATACTTGTATTTAAGTATCTCAGTCCTTACTGCATTGAGCTCAGCCTGTAAAGATTGAACTTGTTGTTGCAAAGCAGAAATTGCACCCATGCATCCGTAGACTGGATCTCTTAGCCTCACGTTCGCTTCATAAACAAGACTATTAGCAGCGTCTGCTCTTTGACCCTCCGGCACCTCCTAAATTTCACAAAATATTAAAAGAATGACAAATAATTATTATATATAATATGTATTTCCATTTTGATAATTATCTAACATTAGTGTAGTTGGTGAAGGTTTATAAAACCATTAGACTTTTATCAAATTCCCATTCTTTTATAATTTGATTTCTTGAAGCGCCTATAGTATGCAGCGACTGTAGCGGTACTCCTTACTACAGTAAACCTTTTGATATATCAATTATCTTCTCTCATCATAAAAAAAAAAAAAAAAAAAAAAAAAATTTAAAAAATAATAAATTACGGTTTTTACTATTACCATTAACATCTTTGACACGTTGCTGGCCCCGAAGACCCTATGGACAGAAGCAAACTTCTGCGGTTCGTGAGGAGAGAAATATGGAGAAAAGGGGCAAAAAACATTCCTGTGCACACCTTCGTCTGAGGAGTTTACAGGCCGCGCATGGTGTAATGGTATTTAGGGTTCCGGGAGGACCCAGCATATGTCTTCTTCCCATATTTTGAGTACTGGCAGCATCTGACTCTCTCTTAATCTTCTTGCCTATCTCATCAAATCTCTCCCTGTATACATATACATATATATATATATGTATATGTATATAGTAGTATTAGAAGAAGATGAAATCAATGGGGAAATCAAGTTGTGACCATCATATAAACATGGGATTGCATGCATGGAAAAGATCAACGTTAACTACTATTTTAGTATGAACTGAAGCAATTAATGAGTAACATTTTGATCCTACTAATTAAGATGAACGTTTATTGTTGAGTAGTCACAATTAATGGAATGATGGAGAAAAGTAGAAATTGTCATTTACTTGTGAGAGAGATAGAGAGAGAAGGAGATTTGTACTGCTTACCTTTCTCTGGACATTCAGGCATGCTCTCTGTGTTATGGAGGTGGAGTTGCTCTGTGTGTGTGTGTGAGAGAGAGAGAGAGAGAGAGAGAGAGAGAGAGAGAGAGAGAGAGAGAGAGGGAGAGGCAAGGGCAAGAGAAAGAAATTGAAGAGAAGAGACAAAAGTAAAATAAGGGCAGCTAAGAAAGTGTACTTAAAAGGCAAGGTATTCCAGATCAGTAGTGGTCCAATGGTACGTATTGTTTATTATAAAGATATAGGCAAAAAGGAATTAATTATATGAATATAGAAACTGCTTTATATAGGAGAGATATATATATTGGTGAATTCTTTTTGTTTGTTGATAATCTGATCAAACCAAACTGGTTGATGTACGAGGATTTCATCAAGAATTATTGATTCTTTTCCAGAGAAACATAACTGAGATAGAGCATGAATATCAATGGAGGAAAGCGCGCGCGTATACTATGGAGAGAGAAAGAGGAGAGAATATTATAAATAATATATGCGTATATATATATATATATATATGTGTGTGTGTGTGTGTGTGTGTTGAATATATGAAAGCCAGCTCTAAGACTGCTTCCTCACGTGTGAGTCTTTTAATGTATTTTGACTTTTTGAATCCAACATTTCATTTCGTGGCCGCATGTGATTGTTACTTCTATCTCGGGAGAACCCTTATAAGCAAAATATATAATTGGTTGTCTCTTTTCTGTATTGGAAAATTAACACATCAATATGTTTTCTGTTAATCACCTAAAATTAAACAACTAATTTTAATGGACTTGGTGATGATCAGAATTAAAAAGCTTATTTGATTGTAAGCTGTAAACAGGATGTTAGTTTCATGTCAAAATCAAGAACACGCCCACACCTTGATAAAAAACGCCCACATCATGGCTGGGATCTAGTTCCGATAATTAATGATATATATATATATATATATTTAAGTGATCAACATTGCCGTATGGAAACCGCAAGTTTTCTTAAAGATGCATGGCTATACCTAGCTAGCTAGCTAATTAAAACCAAGCAAATGCAGATCCGGTGACTGTGAATCTTGCGTTTTTCTGTAGATCTGTATAGGTCGTGTGTAAACCATGAACTTCATTAACATTTCCTCAAGTAGTTAAAAAAAATTTCCTTTTGATTAATCCCCTTTTGGTAGATGGGTAGAAGTTGATATTTCTTAATTTGTTTAGAACCCTCCACTATTGTAGGAGACATTTTGTACATACGAAAAAAAAAATTAATAAACAGAATATATATGGCACCTCGCAACTTAACTTCCTAATTAAAAAATTGCATTACTTGTCGAATTCTCGTTTTTATTCATATTCTTTGTTTTGTTCTAGTTTTTCTTCCTTATCAATCAGTTTGTGATATATATATAGTCACTTAATCATCTGTTCAAAGCTGTGGCCTGTATTTGACCAATGCTTATGGCTAGAGTACTTTGTGACATTTTGTTCTTCGCCTTGGAAAACTATAGCTCCAAATAAAAAATAAATAATAAATAAATAAATGCCATTGAGTGCAATCCAATTTTTTGTATGATGACAGAGCTTAATTACTCTACAAAGTTACTCTACATCAATAATGCTTTGAGAAAAGGACTGGACACCTTAAAGGTAATTTGATTCATATAAATGTATATTTTGTAGGTCGTAACATATATTAGCCTCATATGAAGTATACTGCATATTGATAGTCGATATAGGTGTTGATGCTGATCTCTATAGTTTTGTGTAATATTCTCACCTACTTTTTCATTTAAAGGAAAGCATTCTAATTAAATATCACTACTCTAACAAAAGCTATTAGGTTTCAACTATCCAAATTTCGCACTTTAATAATATTTTTCATCTGAAGTAGTCCTGTCAACGGCTTAATTGAGAGCAAGGCTGTACTTAATTTGTTAAGTTATTGTTTTCCTTATTTAATTATTAATAACCTGGCAGAAGAAACTTATTGTCTTTGAAGTATGTGTAACAAAATGGCATATTTCGCATGCTAATTACATGTTGTATAATAAATTACACTGTAGACCCAAATTAATTATGCAATGTCATTTAAAAGATTTGAAATGACGTTTAATTGACTTTCTATGCTTTAGTACTTGAATCTATTTAATGACATTTAATAATATGATCGGTTAGAAATCAATTAGGATATTAAAAATTAGACTTGTCATCTGAACCTGTCATGTATATATATATATATATATGCATTAATTTACATATATATTGCAAATCAATACAAGAGGGGATCAGTTGTTTTCTTGCTTTTGATTGTGAGAGGGGTGTTATGTCAAAGTGGGTGAATGAAAGGGAGGCAAATTAGGAAAGAGAGAAGCACTGTATATTTTCAGCTCATGAGGATATTAATTTATGAAATACATTGTCTTAGATTGTAAGGAAAATGGTACCACCATCCACCTGTTTGACCCGTATTTTATGGCTAACAAATCGCCCCGTTGTTCTCTCATCTCCAACCTAACTTTCTTACCCTTCTCTCTCTCTCTCTCTCTCTCTCTCTCTCTCTCTCTCTCTCTCTCTCTCTCTCTCTCTCTTAATTTTTTTGCACCGAAACCCACAATAGATAATTCGTTTATGTCCAGCTGCCCAATAGCTTCACCTTCTTTAAACCCTAGATAAATCCTTAAAGTTGTGACCACTTGTTTTGGGGGTCTTTAAAACCAGCTCTTAAGTCCTCAGATTTTTTTTTTTTTTTTTTTTTTTTTTTTTGCCTATTCAACATTTTGTAGGTAACAAACATTCGCTACAAATCTTTAAAGGTCAAAATACACAGCATCTATAAAAAAAAACCGTTACCTGTAGTGCATGAATTTGAGGTGTACACTGTGGATCTATCATGTCCAGGACAATTACTTAACCTGAATATATTTTTCCTTTAAGACCCATTGAACCTCTTTTTCAATATATATATATATATTAAATGTCTTTCAATATATGTGAACTTAAATGTATTGACTTTGGAATGGTCAGCAAGTGGCCTAATTAGTGTTTGGCTAGTCTTATGATTTCTTTTCTCCTAAAAAGTTTCATTTTCTTATCAACATAAATTCTTGGGTGGATTTCCCAAAAAGAGAATAGTTCTCTAGTTAGAAAAATCACCGTAATCATTTATCAAGAATCTAGAATGGATCTAAAAAGATCCTCAATATAGAATATAAAACAATCAGGTGTAGAAAATATGGCACCCTTCTTGATGATTAGAGTTTCCTCCTATATGTCATTTCTCATTCTCAAGTATCGTAACTATCATTTTTTGCTAACCACTTATTGCAAGCAACAATATGGCAAAGACTTCTTGTTTTCAAAATTAAATAAAGCCGTAGAGTCAATTAATGGATAAATTATTGTTAAAAGAATTTTATGGTCCTTCTCAATTACGACACTTAATATATATATATATATATATAGTACCATACTAAGAAAAGATATATTTTTTAAGCAGAGAGAGAAAACAACTAGTATAAGAGAACTTCAGCTGCAGCACATTATGATAAATTTGGCACTCTCATAGCATACAAAGAAAATATTAATTAACAAAAATCTCAGGAAAAAAAAAAGTGCCTTGCTATGTGTTACTAAGAAACAAAAATTGTTCCCCACGCCAATACTAATTAAGAGAGTTTTTTTTTTTCAGCAAAAGAAATTAAGAGATGGAAATTGGAAACAATTTCTAGCATCAGAGAACTTTAGCACATCTTAATAAAATGGCACTCATTCTCATCCCACACTAAAAAAGTATTTGTTAACCAGATTTTAGAAAAGGGGAAAAATAAGTCTCACTGTGTTACCAAGAAGCAAAATTGTAATAATTCCAATGCCTCTCTCTCTCCATAAATATATATATATATGTTGATATAATATTTGTTCTCAATCGAAAGCTTATTAATATTTATATTGACAGCACTGAAAACTAAAAGAAGGGGCAAATTCCATATTTTAGAAACAGTTTTTAAATAAATAGATTATTTTTAGATGATTAAAAGTAAATTGCATATTCACTCAGTATTCACATTGGGTATTTATCAGTAAATATTGTATTTATACTGTGTAAACGAATATTTATCAATAAATATGCTATATATTTTTAAATCGTCTTAAAATGTGTTATTTATTTCAAAATCATTTAAAACTATGTTATTTATACTGCTGGAAACACTAATGACCGTAACCAAATAGAAATTGGATTGTGGTGTGACTCTTTTTCGTTTGGTGGGGGGAAACATGAGTCATCAATTAGAGTTTAAGACTACTTAAACCTATTGTTCATACTTAATTATATTCTAAATATTCGTCCGCCAACATTAATCTGACCGGAATGCTGCCTCTCTGCAGAATGTAAACAAAGCATCACGTGCATAGGTGACCTATTTATTTCGTGTCATGTGATCATCAGTTTTGCAGAAAACAATATTATTTGATCATGTCCCAGTGCATTAATTACGAGCTATTCAGTATTTATAGAATCTATTGAGAATAGTAAAAGCCCATGTGTGAGAGCAGAAGGCCGTTTCCAGATGAAATAATTCAGGGAATATTGAATACTAGAAAATTAAAAGGAAAAGCAAAAAAAAAAAAAAAAAAAAAAGGAATAGGCTTATGAATGTATGTAACAGATAAAAGATAGTGAACACTTCATTATCTCCTGAAATAACTTTAAGAAGTTACATTGTGAAATTGTTTAATGTTCTTATTATCTCATTTAAAATTATGAGTATAGTTAATTTTCTAACTAATTAATGACATATTCATCTATAATGATTTTGGAATCCTAATTCTTCACCGTGTGATTCATAGAAACTTTCATATAGCAAGCAGCGATTGATTAGTAGAACAACTAGCATATCATAATCATCATTTCTGATAACTAACATTATATTTTCATATATTATTTTAGTATATATGTATGAATTATGTGATATATCTCTACCAAAGTTTAAAACAGTTGGGACAGGCCCTCATATCGTGCAAGTCCAGCCTAGGAAAAGTGAGAAGTCCCGTCGGGCCCTTTACCCACAATCAATGAGATCAGAGGCATGGATTTTTGGCCCGTTTATTTCGCCGATTCGAGTTTAGAATTCGAGTTTTACTACAGTAAAAAGCTCTCAGAAACCGTCACATCTAACTTTTTTGCTACAGTAAAAAGCTCTCACACAAAATCACATCTCAACTTAAATTACAAACTCGAATCAACGAAGTGAACGGGCCTTTGTTCTTATTAGAATTCAATGCACCTTCTTGGCAAGTTCCACTTAATCACATGTCGTTATTTCTAGGAAGGAAAAGAAAAAAAAAGGGAAAAAAAACGAATGGTAATTAGAATGAAATGTTGCAGTATGCTGCTAGTTTTTTTAGTTGTTTAATTAAATGTTTAGCGATCGAATTAATAAAAGTCCACGTTAAGTAAGGCACCATATATACGACACAAAAATACTTCCATGCATAGATCCGGCTGATCGTTATAAATATATTACGCCGGGTAAAAAAACTCACTCTATCTGTAGGATAAAAGTACAATTCCTACCTTTTTTTAATTAAGAAAATAGACATTAATTATCTGGAGTCTTTCGACTGTAAGACTTGAAAGAGTAAATTATCAATAGATCTCTATTTTTCGTTATCACATTTATATCAAAAAGTATTTGCTCTATATATGTTTTCAGCTTTTAATGTAATTTTGATAAGATATGTAATGACATTTGCGTCCTTTGTAGATCTAGTACTTAGTAATTTTAAGTTTTCCCCAAAAACAAAAATTAACAACTGTACTAATATTCTCAACAGGATGCCAAATCATGAACAAATAAGGAATAATAGGGGTACTTAGAATATCTCATTAATTAGGATCAGAAAGTATATACGTTGTTTTCTAACAAGGCCCAGAATAACGATTTGATTGAAACTAAAACCAATATCTCTTTGATCTTCGTCTTCTACCAAAAAATAGACACATAATTAAGATAAATACAAGTACAGCGAAATACAAATAATGTGAAGTCGTTTCTGGATAGGCACCCCACGCAAGCGATGCGTCCATATCATAGGGACGTAAGAGTGCGTAGATATTTTTTTTTTTTTTTTTTTTTTTAGAAAAATAGTTTGTAGAGGATGACTGGCTATTCCTAATGGTGACAAGAGCCTACCTCCTACATGTTGAGAAATATCTGTATTGAGTCATACTTATATCGAAAAATGAACCAGTACTTCACAATCATATTAAAAACTAATGAACTTTAAATGGAAATTTAAAAATAGTCTCAAAGGAGTTGGACTTCCATCCACCAAATTACTTGGCCATGTCATCATGTAGGCCTTTTAATTTCACCGATTCGAATTTAAAATTTGAGTTTTGTTACAATAAAAAATTCTTAAAAACAGTCACATTTAACTTTTTTGCTACAGTAAAAAGCTCTCACACAAAATTACATCTCAACTCAAATTACAAACTCAAATCAGCGAACTGAACGGGTCTTAGATTACTATTGCAAATTGTGATCACAATTTTGTTTTTTCTTTCGACAACCAAAAAAAAAAAAAAGAGCCAAAGACTTTTGATTTGTAATAAAGAAGGGAAGGGAGGATACGTTTTCCAAGGCAGTCAAGGAAAAAAAAGCTTAATTAAGTGGACATATCCACGTGAACAATTTTGGACGAGCATGGAAGAACAACAACAGTAACATTAATTTATAGCTGCTTCTATACGGCAGATATATACGATGCCACACTTGTTTTATTGGGGTGCTACAATCTTCTTAATTATCACATGCAACCATCCTAAAATATACTATCTTGTTCAACTATGACGAATCACCTCTCAGATCTTGTTTAAATTAGTACTTCCCAAAATCATGAATATATGATGAACTAAAACCCACACGCATTAAAAATCTCTGCATTTCATATTGATCCCCTATAATTAGTCAGTTTTTCTTACACGGAAGCCTTAATTAGTTAATTCCTACCGTGAAGCTAAATGCACAGAAATCATAAAACTTCCATAGACTTTGTTCAACATTATTAATATCATGACCATACCATATATAAGATATGATCACTGCATTTAAGTTGAAAAACATATATAAAATTAATTCTTTCCACAGAGCATCGTAAATTATTACAGCCACAGAAGAAGAATTACATATGAGCAGTTAACATTTAACGATCGACAAATAACCAAAATAAAAAATAAAAAAGGATTTCTAATTACTTAACCAACCAGTGGTTGTACCTTCATATTTGGCCGCTTAGCTGACGATCTTCTAAGCCCTAAAGTACTCGACGACCAAATTTCATGTTCCCCAATGCGTAACAACCGGCAAGAAAATCCCACGTCTTCTTCTTCATCACCGGAAAGCACAAAATCGAATTAGGCGACCGAAACGACGTCGCATGATTATCATGATCAGGATCATCATACTCCGCTGATCCATAATCAAGCGGTATAGAGCCCACGGAGTCCTCCAAGAACCAGCCGCGGCGCTTCTCAGCCTTCTTCTTGTTCAAAGACGAGGCCGAGTAATTCGACCACGAAGAAGACGACGAGGTGGACGACGACGACAGAGACGACAACGACGACGGCAGCGACAGCTTACGTGTCTTCGCCTTACTAGACTTAACGTCTTTCCCAGAGAAAATCGTGCTTAGAAGAAGCAGTTTTGCCTTAGAAGAAGAAGAACTGGACCTTCTATGGATGGATTTTGAGGCGGAAATTTTGTTGGAATTGGCGTAGGAAGGCGGGGGCGTTAGTGGAGGGAGAGAGGCGTTTCCGAAAAGGGTGTGTTTAGGAGTACCCGGCTGTGACTCCCAGACGAATGGGATTGCGCCAGCTGCCTCTCCATAGTAGACCCTGTGAGAGGAGTTTGGCTGTGAGGTTTCCTTGGATAACAGCCTGGAGAAGAACTTGTCATCCTGCTTGATTCTGAATGATTTCTTCCGAAGATCATGAATAGTAGTACTATTACCCACCTCACTACTCGGCATTTTATTTTATTTTTTTGTTCTTCTTCTGTGCACAGATCTGGATCAGTAGTATTTGATATGATAATCAAGATCCGCAGATGAAGCTGAAGCTATAACTAATTTTAGTAATGAATAGTGGAATAGAATATGTGTCTTCAATAATTATTTAGAGAGAGAGAGAGAGAGAGGGGGAGGGAGGAGAGAGAGAGTCTTGGTAGTAGCTTTGCTATTTGTGTGCTCTCATTAATTTAAGGTTCTACCCATTACAGGCACATTAAATATGTATGAGAAAACCAAACCCCCTGTCTATATCATTCAATGCTGAGTTAGATAATTAATTAACTCCGTAAATGGGTGCACAAGATTAGCAGATATCAAGCTTCATGTGCTTTAGAATTAATGAAGTAGGAGCTTCTTTATGTGATATGTTTAGGCCACAATTTGATCACACAGAGAACATGATTGTCACGATAATGTTTACATTAATAGAAAAGATTAATTAATTATATTAATTAACATGCACGCAGTCTGTGATATTGATCACTATTTTTGTATTAGCGTGTTTAAAAGATGATTAATATCTTTGGACGTACTTAGTTTTACGCCATTAATGAGGACGTCCATGTGGGTTTATTTGGACCATGCGATTAATATTGTGATCGCTGTGACGAAAAACGGTTGAGCCAGTGCTGGGATTTTGGTTTGGGAGGGCTGAAGAGTACTGCCCTAATAAATAAGGACTTGTCACGGTCCACGGCTTGACAAAAATAAAAATAAAACAAAATAAAATAACAAATATGTATAGGCGCTTTATGTGGTCTTTTTGGAGAGGTACCCTCTGACATAACATGTACATATTTAAACATAACATGATATTCATTAACGTAACATTGATATTATAGTCCTTGGAAGACTAAATTTCTTAGTGTTACTGTTACACCTCTCTAATATCAATATTACGTCTAATAACTAACATGTTACGTTTTTCATATTACATGTTACATCGAAAGGATCTCCCACTAAAAGACTATAAAAAGGCATATGTACATACATATATATGTGTGTGTGTATATACATATATATTAAAAGCTGGAAGCTTTAATGGTGGAGGAGATGGAGAGGTTTGGGAAGGAGGTAGATGGGGGTTTTGAGAGCCCAAAAATGCAAACGTGAAATGACTATCTGCAAAATTTTTCTCTACAGGATATAGTTTGGTCCACAATCCATGAGAGGTAAGGGGGGCTATAAGTAATAAATTTTGAAAGAGAACTGGCGTAGGGTTTCTGTGGAAGAACTGGACCACCAAAGTCCGTGTGGCCAGCTCAACCGGATTATTTGTCTGGATTCTAGATATAGAGATCTCACATTTTTCGATAAGAAATAATATGATCGGTTACGTTTATAGCTTGATGATATATATACTAATAATTCAGGCTTATTACTAGTCTAATTGAATGTAATTAATTAATACTTGTATGTTGGAGAGTAATGTGATGCTCTAACTTTATATTATTGAGAACAATAAAATCGCAGAAAAAGAATCAAACAAAAATCACTATAACAATAAAGGCCATTTGCGACGATATTTTTTGCGACGATATTTTTTACAACGACATTTGTCGTCGCAAATAATACAATATTTGTGATGGTATGTCGTCGTAATTAATGCCCGTTAAATAAAATAACCATGTCGTCGCTAATAACTTAAATGTCGTCGCAAATAATTTTGGAGCGCAAATTTCAATGGCACGGATTTTTGCCACCAAGGTAATCCATTTTTTGCGACGAAAAGTCATCGCAAATAATAAGATATTTGCGATGACAAATGTCATCGTAAATAATTTCAGGTTATTTGTGACGACATTTTTCTCTTTGTCGTCGCAAATAATTGCCAGCTGTAACGTATTTGCGACGACATTATCTAATATACCCTATATTCTTCCTCTTCATTTTCCCCCGATGTTTTCTCTCTCTCTCCTGCTAAGTCTCTCTCTCTCTGCCTCTTCTTCCCCTCGCCGCCGCCGCCACCCGTCGCCACCGGCCCTCTTCCCTTCTCTCTCTCTCTCTCTCTCTCTCTCTTCCCTTCTCTCTTCTTCCCCTCTCTGGCAGCCGCCGCCGCTCCTGCCGCCCCGCCCCCGCCACTCCTCTCTCCTCTTCTCTCTCTCTCCTCCCTTCTCTCCCTCTCTTCCCTTCTCTCCCTCTATTCCCTTCTCTCCCTCTCTTCCCTTGCTCGCCGCCGGCCGGATTCCGCCGCCGAATCGCCCGTCGCCACCTCACCGTTCGACGTTTACCGGTATGTTTTACACACTCTGGTAACTATTTATTGTTTTTATGTGTTTTGTTGAGTTGTTTGTAAAGTGTTTGTAAAAATGTCTAAATGAAGTTTCTAAACATTTACTATGAGGCTGTGTAAATGTTAGTTTATGACGTTAATTTAGAATTATTTTTGAACTAGTGGTTAATTTATTAATTTACATTATTTGTTAAAATAATTAGGTTTAATGCCGAGGAATGAAATTTTTTTGTGTATTTAAATATGTTCTTCTAGATGTTAATAAAATGTTAATTTTAGTCACGTTAAATTATGTTCGAAGTTTCAATTTGATGTAAGCATTTGATTTTTCGCCTTCGTCGCTGTTTGCCCGGTTCCTCCGACGTAATCCAGCTATTTTCAACCCCCATTTAGTGGGTTTAAACTTTGTAAGTTTTTTATATTTATTGTACTTTTAGTTTAAAATTGTTGTAGTTTTTGGTTGTATGAATTCGGAATTATGATTTTGATATTTGAACTATGATTTTCTTATATTATTGAAATTTAGTATATGTTTGTGATTTTTGTTCTGGGTGGCACATCTTGCAGCTATGGTGTGTCGAAATCTTTTAAAGTTATTTTCTGCATGTTTAGATTTTTGGATCATAAGAAAAATAAGCTGTTATGTTGCCGAAATTTAGTTAGAAAACAAGAATTTTAATAAGTTCATTAACAAACTTTAATGAATAAAATTTAATTGTGTTAATAAAGAGTAAAATTAAAATTAATTAAACACATTAATAAATTGTTATGTATGTTGTTGTGTATAGTTAAAATGTCGATTGATAAAAGTTGGATTTATTTGAGGAACCGATTGTCGGATCAATATTGGAATGGGTTATCTACTTTTATTGAGGTCGCCAAAAATTATGAAACTTCAAGTGGTCATATCAACTGTCCTTGGCCATATCAGGTGAAGGTGTTAGAGTTGATGGCTAAATTACAGTCGAACATCCAATTACCTACGATTGATCGTCCAGAACCAATTGATCTAGATGCTCCTCTGCCTCCTTCAGATGATGACGGTCCTGATGATAATTCAAATGCTGGCGATGCTGCAAACTTAGACGATTAGTTCCGTTATATGTACTTTTTTATTTTTCACTTTATTTAGACTTTTATATTTTTTTGAACATTATATATGCACTTTATGTAGTATTCATAATATATTTTATAAATTTATTTAGATTTACTGTTTTTAATATTAATTTATATTTCACTTTTAATGTATCTAAATAAATTATATTCAGTATGTAACATAATAATGTTTAATTAAAAATATTAAAAATTAATTAATTACCATTTTTTAAAAATTATAAAAAAAACTAATTTCGGTTTTTTGCGACGACTTTTTTAGACTTGTCGTCGCAAAAAAATAAGATCATTTGCGACGACAATTTGAAATGCCATCGCAAAAAAATGGATCATATCACGAGAAATTTGCAACGACGTATTAGCGACGATTGTCATCACAAATGACACTATGTCGTCGCAAAAAACGTTTTTGCGATGAATTATTTACGCCGATAAATTTGCGACGACACGTCGTCACAAAAAACCTTATTTACAACGACATGCGGGTTTTTGCGACGACTTTTTGTCGTCGCAAAAACTCATTTTTCTTGTAGTGAATAAAGCCATAGATTTATAATAAAATTATGTCCTCTTTTTATAGGACTATAATCGTCAGAGTCAATTGACTGCACAACTTATTAGCTAGCGAGTAGCATATACATATATATATATATATATATAAGTGACAATATAATCAATGAAACACCATATAGCAAGTAGCAAGTAGCTAGTTCTGATAATTAATGAAACACCGTATATATATATATATATATATATATATGTGTGTGTGTGTGTGTGTGTGTGTGTGTGTGTGTGTGTGTGTGTGTGTGGTAAGATGTCAATATTTAGAGCCCTGTATGGAAGACAGTGAAATTACATAATGGATATAAAGTTACACGATAATGTTGATCATATATATAATTCGGTATAAGTTGTGAGTTGTTACATGTGCGTAGTCATGTTTAGTCATATGTCCTGAGAACAAATCAAAGCTCCAATGGCTAGAAGGCTAGAAGGGACAAAATATTCAGGTCCTATATTATTATAAGCACATGGTGAGTACTTTATATACTTCTGTAGGTAGAATAATATTCGTCAAAACAATCAAAGTAATGCAGAGGCAAAGCCAGGCCTGGTTCTGTGAAGCCTATAGTTAAACTTTGTCCCAAAGCGTTCCGACAATACGGCATCTTCCTCCTTTTATAAGGACAAAAGGGACTGAGATATATACTAGTTAACTTTGTTTGATTACCATTTTCTTGTTTGTTTTTTTTTTTTTTTTCCTAAAGTACTTTAATATTATATTATAACTGAAGAGTATTGGAGCAGTAATATACTCGTCTAAGTTTGTTAAATATGAAAAAGAAAAATTCATGCAAATTAACATATATAAGAGAAAAGAGATCCATGGATTGAAATCGACCAGAAAATAGAGAACTTTTATGGTAGGAATTGTTGTTTTAGTGGATGAATTAATTTTTGAACGTATAATATGTAGCTGTGTTGCGCATTGAATCATTGAAAAGCTAATTAACGGTTGAAACAATAATTCTTACCGTAAGAGTTCACAAGAAAATAAATAAACAAAACTCCGGAACAAATAATAGAATAAGTACTCTACGAGGAAACTACACCTTTTTCAGTCGAAAAGAATAAAAAATGTGTAATGTGCAGATTCGGTACTGCTAGTAATATAAAATAACTAAATAAGTCACAGCAATCTCAAGTTTTTTACACAAAGATAAATAGGGGAAAAAAAATATCGATCATGCTTTTCAAGCTAACAAGAACGACAACATCAATTTCACATTTATGACATATACACATCTTCTTCACAAACGTTACAATCAGTGTGTAAAACGTTCATTACGACCAAAACGACAACCAATTCTGCGCAGTAAACGTAAAAAATCCAACCTCGTAATAAAGGCAATGCCAGCTGGACTAAAGTAAAATTCAGCAACCACACTCCAGTGGAATTTGAGCTAATGATCTACAATATTCTACGCCTTTAAGTCGTTCTGACTTAACCATTCTGACCATAATATTGGAAAGTTAAAGCTTGAGTGCTATATGAAATTAAGGTGACGCATCATATTGTTGTAACTTGTAAGATTATATAATGAAATGATCTAATCATCAAATGATATTAGATCCATATATAGATTTGAAAATTAATTTCATTATTGATTGTATAAAACTTTAGTAGATTGATTATTGTTGACGTTATATATAGTCATATATAACTATGTTAATTAACTGAACAAAGTATGAACTACTATTTAACCTCAACGAGGACCCCCATATAATCAAGTAATTGGTCTCACTACAGTAAATTAGGGATTTTTCAAAAAAAATATCGAATGATTAAGTGATCACTGGGCCGGAACGTGAGAACACTATTGAATCTTTTTTTTAAACAAAAAAATGTGCTGAACAAAAACCTATTGATCCCTTCTAGTATATATACTTGACTTATTTGAGAGTGTCCACTCTTATCCCTTACATAAAACATCTCCTTTACTTCAAAAAAATGAAAAAAAAAAAAAAAAAAAAAAAAAAAAAAAATCCGAAGGGTTAACCAATGTGTTGTACGTCCATACGGTAGAAACATTTTGGCACACTTATTGTTAATATTATCATTATTATTTTGGAAGAAAAGGATATAAATATATTGGCACAGTTAATAGACGGGCACTTCCCAATATCAATTGCCACCCTTAGTTGATCAATTATTTATTACTTACAAAAGTGGAAAGCTTGAGCATGAAAGTTATGAATTTAAAATTTTTGGCGGACCATGTTCCCGTGCGTAATAAACGGAACCTGAAAACCATAAATCACATGTACAAACTCCTTTTTGTTGCTCCTTTTTTTTGTTTGATGGACAAGCTAGGTCCTTGATTCATGTGTACTTGTTGCCTTTCTCTTTTGTTCTAATCAGATTTTGATTATATATATCATGTAGAAGTCTCTGGTAACTGCCGCGCAAGGAAAAAAAAAAGGGTTAAATTTCTTATTTCGATGCACTAATATTGTAAAAATCACTAAATTCAACGCCAAAGTTTTAGTAACATGCATGAGAATTTTAAAGGAAAAAAAAAAACGCCTACAGTTTGTTTAAGCTTTGACCGACCAGCATGAAGTTAGTTAAGGGACGTAACATTAATTGGCCGCTGAAATATTCATTATATTCAAATCTGGCAAAAAAAAAATCCAAGAACTATATTCAAGTGTCGAACAATGTCATAGATGAGACGTAGTAGACGTTTAATTCATAAATTTAAAATTATTCTCGTTTTACATGTATTTTTTATAAAAAAAATATTATAATAAACAATAATAAATATAGAAAATAAACGTCTCCTTAATTACAGTCGATACTTATATTTTCTTTGAAAGAAAAAAAAAAGTCGAACAATGTCATAGATGAGACGTAGTAGACGTTTAATTCATAAATTTAAAATTATTCTCGTTTTACATGTATTTTTTATAAAAAAAATATTATAATAAACAATAATAAATATAGAAAATAAACGTCTCCTTAATTACAGTCGATACTTATATTTTCTTTGAAAGAAAAAAAAAAGTTTCAATCTATGTGCCGATGGAGCAGTCGCACCAAAGGGTGGGACAGAAAAAGATGTAGTTAAAGACAAAATGAAAGAATATAATAATAGATCATTCTAGCTAATTATGATAGAGTACACAATTTGTTGCAAGAAATTATGAGTAGCAGTGAGTGAGATTATTATTAACGGAAGTGACTATTTTGGCATTATTCAGATCATTTTGCTTGAGTTGCGAAGAGAATTAATAACGCTGTTTATTCAAATCACAAGAAAGATATTGGGAGAAATTATTGTATTTAATCTGTTAAATTCTTTTAACACATTATAATCCTTGAATTTCACCAATAAAAACCGAGCGAATTGAATATTTTACCTTTTAAAATAAAATTGGTTTAATCTAGCTCGTACAATATTTCTATTCTATATCATGTTTTTCAGGTAAAAGGGAAAAGGTTTTGCTTTGTTTAAGAACGTATATTAATTATGACCGTTTATAAAGTCAAAAGTGATGCACAAATGGTAATAATGATCGCTCTTTTTATTTTTAACTGCATCTAGACACATATATTTATTCCCACAAAACTTCTTTAATTAATTTATTGAAATGAGATCAAACAAAGTGTTGTTTGTTTGAGTTCGAATATTATTTTTTCCACGTTTCTTCTAGATTATGAAAACGCACGGATACATGCATTAATTTCACTGCTATCACCAACAGAATTGGTGGCCTTTCAATGTAAACGCTTTTTCAAATTTTGAATGATCGTGGGAAAAAAAAAAAGTTTGAGCTGCTAAAATTTTAACGGTTCGTGTTCATTTTTCCATCATGCAATGTCAAATAAATTGCTTGTAAGACGACCGTGAAAAAAGATTAAGTTGACATTTGATTGATAGATTTAGAATCATGATTCATAATTATTCTTGATTTACATATATTTTTTGTAAGAAAAAACACTGTAACAAGTCACGAACTATAATTCAAACCATAACACGAATTATTAAACCAAACACTAATTCTTTTTGCGAACAAACACTCATAAACTTTAAGAGAAAATGTTCTTAGCAACCAAAAAAAAGGATAAAAATACATTATAGTATGAAAAGAAATTGGGAAATTCATGGGATTTTCGACCACATAAAAAGCAAAAGCTTATTGCATTTATTTTTCACGTTTGATCACTTTTACTTTACACCAAAAAAGGAAAAAATAAAAAGAAACGCGCTTTTCCTAAAATCAAAAAATGAGAAACGAAAACAAACATAAAGTTACCAACCGGCAGCTAAAACTTTCCTTTCCTTTTGAAAGTCAATCATAGCTTCAACTCTCAAGGCACAAACAAAGCCCTTTTTTGGGTTCTGAAACCGCAATTCACGCTCAAAAATCCTTCACAAAAAAAAAATAATAAATTACACAAAAATCAGTTAACAAAAGAAATATAAAACCAGTCAACGACGCTGATTCCCTAGTCCTCGTCCCCACTAATCCACCGTACGTGTGAACTCCTTACTGGCTCAGAATTTAAAAACATTGGCACCTTATTCAATCACATTCTTACACGTGGACAACCGCAACTAAGTCGGACCACTAACTTTTCTCATCACCGAGTCGACTCGGTTGCCCCCACTGGACCATTCTTTTTACCGACCGAGTCGCCTGACTCGGTCCCTTTCTCCAAACATCATCATCACATTGCCATCATCTTCGATATCACATAAAATCTCGAAGCTCTCTTTTTCCCACTATGTCTTTTGTGCTCGTCCTAAACCCAGAGTTCTTAGTTTGGCTGTGGAATAAATTACTAATATCCTGGGCTGAGATTTTGGTGCTCCATCGGTAAATGGCGCAACCGGCGCTGAACTCGCCGTCCGAGGCGGTTCCGGGGACGCCGGGAATAAGGGAGATAAGGTCCGATGCAGGGGCCGATCGGCTTCTGCATTTCTCTGTCTGCTCGGGCCAATGCCATGGGCCGGGAGAGTGTCCGAGCCCGATTAGGCCCGGGATAAGGAAGGTGAACATGAGAGCGGAGATCGATACGTCACCACCGTTCGGATCCGTCATGGAAGCCGTCACCCGGTTTGGTGGCCACGGGTCTTGGGTGCCAATGTACAAGTTCGGAGATAACTACGTAAGTGGTTTTTTTTTTTTTTTTTTTTTTTTCTTTCTTTTGAATGGACTACGTAAGTTTTGCATTGTGTGTGTTTTCATGAAACAGAAACCATTAACCATGCAATACTTGTTTTTAAGTTTCTTCTTTTAGTAGAGGATATACAAAGCAGTCTATTACAATTAGGTACGCTAGTTTCTATATAGTATTACTATCAAGCTTTCGTTAAACCAAGAGAAAATTATTATAAAATTAAACGCTTTTTAGTTTTGTTTCCTCGGTTGTTCCTAGTCCCTGATGACACTTCTAATTTGTCGAATGTTCTATTCATCGGAACTGTAATTCAAGAGCACTAGAGCAGCATCATTTGCAATAACTTTGCACCTCCATTTAGTTTCTAGGTTTATTTAGAAGACATTTGGTCTTACAAGGCAACATTGGAAGACATGACCACTTGGGAGTTTACTTGCCACATTTATGTTTTGGTATTTTGTGTTTTCTTCCTTTTCGACCAGTCGGATTGATGGCCATACAGTGAAAATTAAGACCTTTGATTTGGCCTACTTTCCCTTGGATGCGTTTTTACGCTGTTTTTAGTCTAAAAGTGAAATTAAGTGTGCGATCTTCTTAAGCATAAAAAGTAAATATTTTGCATCCAAGCAAAGCCCCTAACTTTTTTTTTTTTTTTTTTGGGAATATTTTGCTGGTTTTTTTCACTGTTCAGTTGGATGAAAATCGTTGGTAAATGGCCAGGATCTGCCCGATTAATACTGATTTCTTTTAAAAGTAAGACTACAAAACTTTTGTATCCCACTGAAAGTGAAGTAACAAGAAAAAGTACTTCATAAATATGTTCTGGACCACTCGGCCTGAATGGTTTCTGTAATTAAAGTTTCCTTTCCCTTTTTTTTTCCTCGTTTTGGGTACCCACTATTAGTTTTAGATCCTTCTTTTTTATCCTTTTCTTTTTCCTTCCACAGTACTCTTTTTTTTTTTGGATAATCACAAAACAGTATACTTCATTCTACTCTTTTTTTCGACTGAAATATTTAATTCTTAGTGTATACCCGCTATATTTCTGCTACTTGATCACACTTCCATTTTCCCAATCTTCAAAACATTAAAATGTCTTCCATTTTTTTCTAATTCAAGTTGTCATCGTTCTTACAAATTTCTATTACATTTTTAGTCCCTTGAATTTTTATAACTCACTAAGTTCTTCCTTGTTATTTTGAGACATATTTTAACCCTTTGACACCAAGTGAAAAATAGTACATGTTTTGGCAAATGCATTTAGAGAAACAAAAAAAGTAGCATTGTAAATTTTTTTTTTTCCCCTTCCCTTTATGCGTTTACTGAATAAGCAATTGGGTTGTTATGATCGATCAGCATGAGAATGAAGAATTTGACATAAAGAAAGTGGAGGAACAAGCAGCAGAGTTAGAGAAGGATCTGATTGTAAAAGAACTTGAAACACTTGATGTCCTTGAAGAACTTACGACGACAAAAAAGATTGTGGAGGATCTAAAACGACAGCTCCAGACAGGTGCTTTGAAATGCATGGCAGTTCCACAAGATCACTCCAATTCAGATGAACATCAACACAATATTTCAACTCCTCATATCAAAGAAATGAACAACAACAACAACAACAAGGACTATAAAAATTTGGCTAACATGGGAAATTCAAGTCCTTGCCCAATTTCTTCACCAGATATGATCCTTATGGAGTTGAAACGAGCAAAAATGAACCTTGGTAAAACAATAAACGATCTAGGGGTGATTCAAACCTCTGTTGACACTTTAACTAAGAAAATGAAAAAAGAGAAAGAATTAATTGAAAAGACCCGAGAGAGGCTAACTTCAACAAAGTTTGCAGGGGTGTTGCCAGTACTGGAGGATCCGGATCATCAGCAGGATCATCATATTGTGGAGAATAGTAGATTCTTCGAGCATTCGAAATCCGATTCAAGGGAAGATCAATCCTTTGTGAAAATGGATCATAATCATGTGGCGGCTACAAAATCTGAAGTGCTCTCGTCAAGAGCAGTACTGCCAGCCTGCGTGAAGACTGCTGAGATGAGGTGGGTTGCGGCTAAAAAGATGGGAGAAGCCGCCAAGGCGGCAGAGGCTGTTGCTCTGGCGGAGATCAAGGCGCTGACGACCAGGGAGAACCCGTCGGAGTTTCTCCTCTCTGAGCCTGACAAAATGAGCTTCAACTTTAGAGTGCAGTCTCCACTGAACTATAGAGGACAAGATGCATCAAACTGGTCAAGAAAAAAGCTTGCCGACGCCATGCTTCATGTCGACGAAGCTCATTCTTCGAAGAATTCGGTCATGAGAAAGCTAAAGGAAGCCACGGAAGAGGTTAAGTTCAGCAAAGTGGCCTTGGAGGAGGCCTTGAACAGAGTGGAGATTGCAAACAGGAAGCAACTTGCTGTTGAAGAGGCTCTCAACAGGTGGATTCCCGAGCACGATCGGAAGCGAATGCAGTCGGCCTATAACTCTCCTAGAATCAACATCTTCCATCCAGCCGATCATGATCATCACAAGGACTCTCCACTGAGCGATGAGCACAGTCAGGTTTTGGTGGACAACAATGTCCCGAAGCCTGTTTTGAAAACGACGGTTTCGATGCGAGATGTGCTGAGCAAGAAGCAAGTTGGGAGTGAAGATTATGGGAGGAGAAGGGATCAGAGTGGCCACAATGAGACGCACAAAGTGGCTTTGAGCGAAATGCTTCAAGCGCTGAGGGAGGACTTGACGTTTCCTTCAAAAGCTGAGAAAGATGGGAGTGACAATCAGAAGCAGTACTTGTCGCAGAGGAAGAAGTTCGGGTTCATCCAGATTTCGCTTCCTTTGACAAAGCCAAGCAAGAAGAAGATGCATACTTTGAATCCAATGTGATAGGCTTTCACGAACAATGCTAGGGAGTACCGGTAATGTTTGGGTCCTACTATATATGGCCCACTTCGTGGTTATAGACACTAGTGGTGCATGCGTCGAGCATTTTTCAACTTTGATCTAGGTACCCTGCTTGGCCACCAGCAATGATTTCTTGTTTGTTTGGTTAATTTGATGTGGTTTTTGCTTATGTAATAGTGTTAGTAAATATGATGTGTTTAGTGTCTCTATAGTACTGTAAAGTTTGTTACGTGATTGGGTTGATTTGTATTTGTGAAATTGAGGTCAACGGAGATGGGATTGATTTGGAGTGAACTTTTTCTGCTTATATAAAGAATTTTCCCCTGTTGAATCTCTGACTAAGCTGTTTGTTTGTTGCCATCTATTAATTTCACATTGGTTGTGAAACCTCTGAGTCTCTGACATCTTACGAAAACTCTTCTTTCTAGCCTTATAGGCATGCAACAACTAAGAACTAAATTCAGTACATCTTACATTAATGCTTACATGCAGTTCCAACTTTCAGCCGCTCCGTTATACGCCTTATCCGTAAATATTTATATATATATATATATATTATGTTAATAAACAATAAAATATTTGTCAAAAGCCCTCATATTAGATTGTGAAGACAAATAATGCAAGGAATAGTAGTATTTGACTAATGTGGAAACAGTATAAAGTGCAAAACTCAGTGCATGGTGATCAAATTTGAAAAAATCAAAGGTTGCTTATCGCAGAAGAACCAGTGTGTGCTGTGCATTGATTCATTCAATACACATATATACTTGTGTACATACATATGTATACAAATGTATGAAGGAATATAAGATCAATACCTTGTCAACGTGCACTTTATGTACTCGTGGGTCGTGGCAGAGTATAAAAGTCTCAACCGAAGCTCTTAAAACTACTAGAATGGAGATAATGCTAATACGCGCACTATAATAATTTATTATCCAATTTTCTTCTCCAAAGTGTAGGTTTCGATTTAATAGAGTTTTTCTTAAGAAACGCGGCTAATCCTCAGTCGTCCAAACTCTTTTTGTGCTATCTGTTTTGGAGCAACGAACTGGTTTGGACGTAAATTTAGCGTAACCTTGCATGGTAAACGTAACCATTTAATAGTATAACAAACTAGCTAAAATCAATTTCTAGAAGTTTTCATTATCAAAAAAAAAAAAAAAAAATTCTAAAAGCTTTCTTACAGTATCTTCAAAACATAACACTGAAGATTACTTATCTGTGTAGCTAATTAGTTTGACACAAAGAATTGCCAAGGTTAAATATTACATTCAAGAATGAAATTCTGATATTTTCCGTTTCCATTTTCTTTTGAATTTTCACTCAGCATTCTCCGGGATGTCTGAACAGGGAATATGGATAATTTTTTAACTACGAAGAATTTAATTTTGAAATGGAATGTTTCACTGTTAACCTGGATAACAAATGACCTCGGACCTCTCGATTTTGTTTTTTTCTTTTTCATTCATGCTCGAAGAAGTTAATGATGAAACATTGAAACTTTTACTTATACATATAAACTTTTTTTTCCCCTATTTATCTTTAACAAGTTAGGTTTCTTCCATTTTGGACCACTATTCACCTACCTCGGAGTAATTTTCACTCACTTTACAATTTGTTCAATTCAAGTGTTGTTTCGCACGAACCCACGATCCCATCTATTTAGATCTAAATGTTGATTTCAATTTTGGCATTAGGAGAGTATTATTTGTCTCATTTTACCTCCTAAACTTTCAAATATTATATCAATGATTCTTAAGTTTTACAAACGTTATACTTTCGATCCATTCATGAATTAGCGTGTGAGGCGGTGCTTTTAATAAAGATAATTTGAGAAAATTAATGTGTTGATTCCAATTTTAACCCTTGAGAAATACAAAGTGTCATTTTGCTCATTAAACTTTTAAATATAACATTAATGACCACCGACCTTTACAAACATATCAAGCCCGGCACTGCAGGAGCATGAGATGTGCTTCAAGTTATGATTCAGACCAAACCTAAGCGGTTGTTTGTTTAATGTGATAAAACTTTAAATTTTTAAAATCAAAAGTAATAATTACTTTGTTTGAATTTATGAATCAAACAAACTTTAAAGCTTTTAATATTAGACTAACACGAGCATAACACCAAAGTTTTAATAGGCAAAGTCCAACATAACATGAAACATGTTTAGGCCTAGTTAATGGACCAACATGACATGATACAATTGATATCTCAATACTCTATAGATAATCTGGTATAGACTTACAGGTGACATTTCTGTAATTCCTGCTTGAGTGAAGGGTGATTTGGATAATTCATATATCTTCCAGTCGCGCATGCCCGAGTACCAGGACATGTGTCCTCCTCAGTTGTCTTCTGTACTCAACAGCTTCTCATTATTAATCCCCCTAACCAACCATCAACTCACACGTCAACAACATGTCTTAAAAAGGCCTTACGTGTCAATTTATGATTAGTTAATCTACCATCAATGATTTTTTTCTATTCATTAAGGGTAATTTAAATTAAGATATATGAAATTGTCTCTCGTCAACACTTAAAAAGTCCTTGATTAGAATGGCAATTTTTATAATTTTATATAAATTATGTATATTTATATATAAATTATGTATATTTATATATAAAATTACGTATATTTAATATGAAATATAACAAATTAATTATATATATTCATGTTATGTATTTATTAATTGCTATAAAATATATATATTTTGAGAATTAATATATATTATCATTTTTTATAACTTAATATGTAAATATATATGATTTTATATATAAATATACATAATTTATATATAAATATACATAATTTATATAGAATTATATAACTACCGTTTCGGTTAAGTACTTTCTAAGTGACTAGTCAAAAACCTTACATATAATTTTATATGAAAATTTTTTATTATAATATAAAAATTAAATATAATTATTTTAAAAAAAAATTATTGTAATAAATTTTAAATTTTAAATTTAAATTATAAAATAAACAACAATACTGTTATATATTCCCAAAGGCCGAAAAGAATCACCGCGGGGAAGGAATGTTTCCACAAAATTTTCCTGTATTTCTTTTCGTCTTTTTCATTTTCCACCCCAAACTACCCGGTTCCGCGCCAAAGTGTCAGCGCAATTTAGCAGAGACAACGTTGCTTCCACTAAAATGCTCCGCGTTATTAGTGTTAACCTTCGGCGCATATTAGCAAGACCCATTAATCAAAGGACAAAATGGAGTTTATGGTGATCTTGTCTTCCACTGTTAATGGAAAACACAAGCATTAGTGGAAAAGCCAGAAGTTGAAAAGGCTAAAAAAAAAGTGGTTACAGAGAAAGCAGAGCGGAGCTCGAATTGGAGCTTTAATGGCGATTACGCCTCGGACCCGTAAAAGGGTCCGTGCGATTCCTCGCGCTCCTGACGGAAGTGCCTTCCGGAACTGGTATATCAACACGAACTAATAAAACTACATCTTTTTCATTTGTCATTATTTTTTTCCTATTTTTGTTGTTTGAAGGTTTGTGGTAACGATTACTGTGTTTATATACATTGAAGCCCTAGGTGCGGCGTCTCGGTCGCGATTTCTTTGGCTGACATGCACGAGTGCGAGTCGAGTCAGAAGGTGAAAAGGTTCAGAGGAATACAAAAGAGCCCAAATGTTCAAAAGGGGAGATTCTGGGACCAGCCCAGATCGCCCTTTTGTTTCTTCATGTACGTTTTTTGTTTTTCATCTCTCATTTAAGGTTTATTACTTGTTTGATTTTTATCGTTAAGTGTGTATTTAAGTATTTAACCGTCGTTAATAGCATTACTAATATTGTATATGTGTAGTGAGCATAATATATGGGCTTGATAATATGTTTGTTTTAGGGAAGAGTTTAAGAAAACATGTGAAAGTGGAGATTCGATTGAAATTGATCGGAAAGGTTTTGAGACTTGGAAGAACATGTCCAAGGAGGTAAATCTATTTGGAAATATATGTAATATGCATATTCTACTCCTTGGTTATTGGAATAATAAAGGATTAATCTCATAAATCGTCTCTGAACTTTATCATCAATCTTACTTGGGTCCTTGACATTTAAAACATCTCAAAACTCATTCCTAATTAATCATTTGTTTTAAGTTTTAGTCCTTTTTTATTAGTTGAATGTAAAAAAGACGATAGAATGCATGTGATGCTGAGAGAAGATAGTACTTTACTAATAGAACACACGCATGTGATTCTAATGCAAAAATGTAAAATAATACTAGGCTAACTGAATGTTATCTATACATTGTTATGTTTTTAACATCCAACTGACGAAAAAGCCTAAAACTAAAACAAACTGATCCATTGGGAATTAAGTTTGGAATGCTTTAAAAGTTAGAGGCTAAAGTGGAATGGACAGTAAACTTCATGGACCATTTATGATATTGACCCAAGAATAAAAGGATCTTAATCTTCTTAAAAGCTTAATAATGTTTTCTTGGACTGTTTATTTATTAGGAGAGGCAACCATATGTCAGGAAAGCTGCTAGGGTGGACTCTGCTTACTACAAAGGCTTGGTTGAAGAGGTGAATTCAGAGGTAAAATTGGACCGTGTCATCTTATAAGTGCTCCTTCTTAATGTCACAACTTCATCATAACTAACTCAAAATTTGCTTTGCTGAATTGCTTAGAGAGCTCTATGAACATTGATATGATGAAAGCCTAAAAAACTTGAATTTAGAAAGGTGTTTCCTTATTTGGTTAGTTTACTATAATTGCTCCTTTTCCGTTGATGTCCATTTATTTGCTCCTTTTCCGTTGATGTCCTTTTATACCACCAAATTCCATTTTCAATGAAAAATTTTATCCTCTATCACAAAGCTTTAGTGAATTGTCTTCTTTCTATCTTCAATTTTAGAAACCAAGTTTACCTCCTATCGGTAAACTGATTTATGCTACAGTAGGGCCTCCTATTGGTTGTTCACATTTCTGACCTGTTAGATCTAATAAAAAACACATCAAATTAAAAAAGTATGAGTACAAAAAGTTTTTTATATTGATCTAATGGCTGAAAAACAAAGACCTGGTGTAGAATCTCCTTATTTTATTTTATTTCTTTGGTTTCTAAATTGGGACAGTTGAGCAAGTTGATGTTTGGCTCCTTGTTTGCAGATTGACAATGAGGCAGATTCGACAGCAGTTCAGAAGATTTATCCAGTATGTCTACTTCCAAAAACTCAGAATTATTTATAACGTTTTGCTAGGAAGTTTGGTGGATTGATGTCTTACTAAACTAAAACTTTTTTCTATTTATAAATAACAGTGGGAAGACTGTTCAGATTCTGGATGGCACACTTATGTGGTACTTTGACTTTGCATAAAAAAGCTCTGAGATTATGAATTCATTTACATGATTAAGTCAAAGCCAGATTCCTTTTTGCTTATTGACTTCTAATATTTTCCTTTTTCTCACTTCATGGAACAGGCAAGGGATGACTGGCTTATTTAAAAACTTCAAAGTGAAGTTTGGAAAGGCTTTTTGAGGTCTATTTTTGTCAAAAATTTGGGTAATGGAACCACCGTCCGGTTTGTGAAGATGGAAAATTGAGATGGTGCTAGAAGTTTAACTATTACCTATCTTCTCAAAGGCAAGTCATTTTGGCTATTGTACAGTAACATTAGGAATTTCTATTTTCTTTTCTTCTTTTTTTCTTGGGAGAATATAGGAATTTGGGTCAAAGTGTTTTGGTAATCTTGAGGAAGCGGGTTGTTATTTCTTGTAAATTGCAATGGCAATCCATTCCATTTACTTCGCTACAAATTCGCTCGTTGTAAGGTTCAATTAAGGTTCATGAAACCTCATGTGTTGAGTGCTTTCGCCCATTTTGTCGTACTATTGGCCAATTGCAAATGCAATCCAATTCTCTTTCAAAGGATAAACGTGTCGTTTTATTTTTTATTTTTTATCAGACATGTCGTTTTTTTTCGTTGAAGATGTAGAAAGGACATATCGTCCGATGAGAAAAACGACAGGTCGTAAATACATAGAGCGGAAACCAGCAAGCCCATACTCCAAAGAAAACGACGCTCGCATTTTCATTCCTACAAAACGACATCTCATTATTGCCCACGAGACTTCAGAAGTCGTTTATCCTATTATAACCAAAAATTGTTTTTGTGCGTTGCCCTCTTTATTTATTGTCGTTTTGCTCTAAGCTGTTATTTTTCATTTTGTTGTCGTTTAAAATTTCCTTTTCTGCCGTTCCTCCCCGAGTCTTTGTTTTTTCCCCGCAGCAGTAGTTTTTCCTTTGTTGTCGTTTTTGTTGTTGTTTCACCTTTTGTACTTTGGAGTTAGTTTTTATCTTAATCATTGATGTTTCTTTGTTTATACTTCAGATCAGGTTTGGTTGGTGATAATCAACATGAGGATGAAATGGACATTACTTAAAAGAGTGTTTTTCAATTGTTTTGTTTGATTTTTAACTTAAAGAATACCCATTACTATAGAATGATCATGCCATGAAACTTATAAAATTGCCTTTCTTGGGTGTTAAGACATTCCAATACCAAAACTATATGCCCTAAATTACCCCTTACCAATTCGTAGTTTATCTTCTCCTGTCCAACTCTCCCCCAATAACCTTAGGCTCTGTTCACTTCGCATATTCGAGTTTAAAATTTGAGTTTTTCTACAGTAAAAAGCTCTCACAAACAATCACATCTAATTTTTTTGCTATAGTAAAAAGCTCTCACATAAAATCACATTTCAATTCGAATTCTAAATTCGAATCAGCAAGTGAACGGGCCTTAGTCATCGCTCTCCTCTCTCCCGAAATCCAAGCGCCACCCTCCTTAGAGAAACCCGAGCATAGTACCTTTAATTTAAAAACTTCGGGTATTTTGATCAAATTAATGTTAGTTACATCCATTACATATTCAAACAAAAGTTTTGTTCTCTTTCCCATTCTATTACCGTTATAATCGCCATTGTACCAGTATTTCAACAATGCAACCAAATACAACCGTGTTGTCGTTTTTTTCAACCAAATGTTTCATAATCGTTCGTTTTCTTCACTTGCTGTTGTTCTCTTACGTCTTTTCCCACATGTCGTCATTTCTTTCATTGTTGTCGTTTTAACCTTTAGCTATCGTTTTTTTCTTTTGTTGACGCTTTTCCCCACTTGTCATCATTTGACTTGCCGAAAGGAACCAGAACCGGGATCTTCACGAGTATATATATCTCAAACAAATCAAAAAATCTCATGCGTTTCCCATCAGTTAAGTTTAATTAGTATAATACCTAAAACACCTCCACTATTTTGCTTAAATACCATATAATTCCTCTTATATTATACAAATGTAACAAAACTGTCATGTGTTTATAAAATCATAATTAAAGTATTTTGTAAAATAATTAATTTTTTTAGAATACAATGATTACCCTTCCTAATCTTTAAATACAATTTAAAACATTATTAACTAAAATATTAATAAAATCTCTCAAATATTTGTTTTATTAGAATATTTATGTAAACATTTTTAAATTTTTTATTTAAATTTTTCAGATAAATTTCTTTTACACTTTTTGACTTAGGGTGACTTAAGTTCATATCTTAATTTGAGTTCAAGTGTATTTGAGTATGATTTGAGTTGAGCATCTAATTTGAGTTTGTGTTTGGATGTGCACATTTGAATTATGATTTGAATTAGGAATCTATTTGAGTTTATGTTTGAGTGGGTCAAAACCTGAGTTTGTATTTTGATAGTAATTTAATAAAAACTCAATGATGATAGAAAATTTTAATAGGATATATGGGTGGAGTTTTATTCGTCTCTTCATTGTGAACGCATACAAGAAAGAATCATCTTAATCGGAATTAAAAGTTATGACATTTTTAAGAGGGTGTGTTCTTTTTGCACCCAAACTCAAAAAATTGGACTCAAGTTACAATTTAAGTTCAGGTTCAAGTTGTTATTCTTTTTAAGTGAACTCAAATCAAAACTTGAATCTAAGTTCAAGTAAATCACCAATTTTCAAGTTCAAGTCCTCCCTCAACTCACCTCACTTAAGTTACATCCTACAGTTAAAAAAATATTTTTTTTATTTAAATAATAAACTCCAAATAAAAATAATTACATTCGCTTCATTTTTTACTATTCACAACTCAAGTTTTAGTGCAAATAAATACAAACTTAAATAGATTTTCAACTCAATCCATAACTAAAATGTGCACATTCAACTACAAACTTAAGTTACAGCTTCAACTCAAATTCATATCGGAACTCAAATCAAGGGCTTGTTCATTTGTATTTTTTGAGTTAGGGTGACTTGATTTAAGTTAAGGTGTATTTGAATATGGTTTGAGTTGAGACTCTAATTTGAGTTTGTGTTTGGATGTGCACATTTTGAGTTATGGTTTGAATTGAGAATCTATTTGAGTTTGGGTGGGTCAAAACTTGAATTTGTATTTAGATAGTATTTTAATAAAAACTCAATGGTGATGAAAAATTTTAACAGAGTATATGGATGGAGTTTTATTCGTCTTTTTGTTGTGAACGCATAAAAAAATTATCTCAATCATAATTAAAACGAAAAAGTTTTAGCGTTTTTAAGAATATAAAAAATATTATTCATTAACTTGAGTTTGAGTTGAAGGGGGAACTTGAACTCAGATTTTAGCCCCAAACTTAAGTTCAAATTCAAATTTTATAAAAGAACATAAACTTAAATAAAGTTGTAACTTGAGTTCAAACTCAAACTTTTTTTAAGGTGCAAATGAACTTAATTCAAATAGTGCAAAAGAACTTTGATAATTATTTTAGGGGATATTTTGAGTATGCTTTAAAAATATATTTTAGACATTTGTATTAATAAGAGTGATAAAAACAATATTTTAAGCAAAACACACCACCAACACCATATTTTGAGTAAAAAAAAAAAAGAAAGAGAAATTGTTATTGAACTCCTAATAATAAAAGTATTTTTTTAAAAAAATAAAAAAATTATTTTTAAGAGTGTTCAAACCTAAATTTTTATTTTTTATTTTTTTAAATATTTTTTTATTTGTGTAATTATTTAACTAATTATGAATTAAAAGTAAAAGATAAGAATATCAGATATATTTATTAAGATTACTTATATATATATATATATATATATATATTATAAAAAATCCAATAATAAAAGTAGCTTCGTCTATTCTACCGGCTTCGCGAGCGTATTGTTTCTCTTTCCATGGACAGTGCTTCTCTACTTCTTCCATGTCCAACTTCTTCTTCTCCTATTTCACACTCTTCATTCCCTTCAAACCTCAGATTTTCTGTAAGCCTTTTCATGCGCTTCTCTAATTTTTTTTTTTCATTCTTTTCTTCGCTCGTTTAATTCTCTTCTTCAATATCACCATTTAACTTAATTGCTTTTGTTTACGCACGTTTCAGCAGAGACTAAAGCGTTTCGACCTTATTAAGAAGCATTTGGTGGTCAGAAACGCTTGTGGATTCGACGAAAATGGGTTTTCCATCACGCCCAACAAGCTTTTCATGGAAGAGGTTCTCAATCCTGTTGCCCCTTTTAATCGTCTGTTTGTTTCTGTATTGATTTTTTAAAAGAATGTTACTGAATATTGAGAAATAGCATTGGAATTTTCAATTTCAGCTTCTGGGTTTTCCTTAATTTCCCTGGGGATATTAAGAGGCTTTAATGACTTTCTGGCTTTAATTTTTATATTTTCCCTTTTATTATTTTTTCTTAGCGATTTATATTTAATTAAATGTATTGTTGGTTTTATTTGTTTGCCTTTCCCAGGCTATTGGAGCTGAATATGGGGAAGGTTTTGAGACTTTTAGACTAGATGGGCCTTTAAAGATTGATGTGGTAAGGAATTTAGCTGATTAATTTGATTTATTTAGTAGTTAAACTATTCCTCCTAAGTCCTACCATGATATTTCATTGAATTTGATGAAATTACTATACTTGTTTTAGGTGTCTGAGAATTGCCTTTAACTAGTGTTAACTCTAATTGTAAATAGGATTTTTTGAATGAGAAGTTGCAAGAAGGTTTTCTTCAACGTATACGCTATGCTATGAAGCCAGATGAAGCTTATGGTCTTATTTTTTCATTTGACAACGTTGTGGTAAATTTCCAAACCTGGCAATGTAATTGAGAGACTTGAATATCTACTAAGTAGTCAGCTCATACTACCGCATTATAATGTGTTTCAGGCGGATACTCGGGCTTTGAAGTTGGCAGCATGGAAGCAGCTGGCCTCAGAGGAAGGTATGCCGTAAATTTTTGCTTTAACATGAGTTCTTTGTGATGGGGGTCACTTTCTGTGGCGAGAAGAATCCATACTCTAAATCTTTGATGTTAATTGAATGAGATTTCTCTTATATCTGTGCGTGTGCGTGCGTGAGTGAGTACATCTACATACACACAGCGCTAAGAATCTTGGTAAATTCCTTTTCAAAGTTGGGTCATGGTTCAGTTGATATGAAAACATACATTTTCTTTTCTGCTCAATTGAACTAGTCAGGCTTCGTTTGTTGTGATCTGATTATGGACCTCATTTTTCTCTTAAAACAATGAATCTTCAATCTTGTGTGTAGGAAAGGAAATTCCTGAAGATGGTGAATTGCAAAGAGTGATGCTATATGCAGGTGCTGATCATGTGTTGCATAAGGTTTGGGAATTTGGTTATTTTAGGAATTAAGAGTATTGACTACCTTTTTAACCATCAACCTTTTCCCCCCTTGTTGAATGTCTCTCACAAGTCCTTTTAACTTTCAGCTTTTACTGTGGGATGAAGCTGAAAGCGAGGTGGACAGATTGGCTTTAAGATTTTCACAGATATATTATGAAAATCTTCTGAGGGTGAGTTCTTGAAAAAGTATGCTCTACGGATCACATGTTATCCCTTGGAAGCAGATATTAATATCGTTCTATTGCTCTCTTTCTCGTTATATTAGCTTGACAAACCCGTGGAGGGCCTCAGAGAATGGCTAGATGCTGTTTCCACTGCTCGTATCCCTTGTGCTTTAGTTTCAAGTCTTGATCGGAGAAACATGGTCGAAGCCTTAGATCGGACGGGGCTCAAGAAGTATTTTCAGGTTTGTGATCTTTAAGAGTTATGTTCTTTCTGGCGTACATATTTGTTGGTAGAAAATTCTGTTGCTACAGACTAGAGTCTAGCATAACATTGCAATTAGTTCTTTTAATGGAATCCAAATAATAGAGTCCCTTCATTTACGGCTTATTTTTCTTTACTTGTGAAATGCCCTGAACATCATATAGATGACACCAAATGTTAACTGACCATTAAGCTAGGACTTAAGAGTTTCTGAGCCATATAATATGTTTCAAGTATTATCGGATTGGTGTAGAAATGCTTCAGCTGACTACAACTTTGGCTGCAGGCAATTGTAACAGAGGAAGATGGAATGGAATCCATAGCTCATAGATTTCTTTCCGCAGCTATTAAGGTATCATCTCTGACACCTTATAAATACTCACTGGTGCAACGCATTCTAGAAGACGGCTATAAAGTACACCGAGAACAAATTAACTTACATTCTTGATTTACTTTCCTGCCTTTTTTTTTTGCTAAACCATGCTCATAACATTGCATGTAGCTTGATCGGAAACCATCCAAGTGTGTGGTGTTTGAGGATGATCCAAGAGGCATAACTGCTGCCCACAACTGCACTATGATGGCTGTTGCATTAATCGGCGCTCACCCTGCGTGAGTAATCACAAAGTCAACAAAAATATTATATTGAAATCATAGATAGAAGCACATGGAAAAATTCTTCTTTAAATTCTTTTGGTATTTATGATTACTGTTTCTGTTGATTCTTGAAGACGCATGGAACTTAGGTGCTTTCCCATTTCTGTAACAACTCTTAAAAAATCAAGACTGGAATTTTGAAATGATTGTTTCATAGCTTTCATACGTGCTTATGTTTTCGTGTTAGCATTTGCAGGTATGATTTAGAGCAGGCGGATCTTGCAGTTGCTAGTTTCAATGAGCTTTCGGTGATTAACCTAAGGAGATTATTTGCCAACAAAGGTTCCACTTTCATGGACCTTCAAAAACAGATAGTTGAGAAATCTCCACCTAAAAGGAAGCTTACAATTGATACAATTTTCTGATTCATTCTGTGTCCTTCCTCGCTATCTCCTTGTAATCAATCTACTAGCTGATCATCATTTCGTTCTTCAGTTGTAAATTTTAATTTTTTTTAGGTATATGAATTTATGATTTAGATGCATCATGCATCCAATTCTTAACAATATATCAAAGAAAAATTTAGAATCAAATAATATTTTCCTCCTAGTGTCTGCTCTGCGCTTTTGTTGCTATGTATCATATTCTAGAAAAAACTTATTCTCATATTGGTTTGCTAAGACAAACTTTGATCTTAGCTGTAACATCATGCTAGATGAAAGGCTAGGCCAATATTTAGGACTAATTTTATAAATGTCTTATTTCACCAATTCAATTATATAAAATCGTCCAAAACATCCGAACCACCCCTTCGACAATCTTAATCCACGTGATGTCTTTGCATATGGCGATAATCGTCATGATCCAACTCCACAACCAAGCACAAGTGAAAATTCTTTCTATCATTTTCATCGCACCTTTGTATATCAAGGTTTCGTTCATTTCACCGATTCGAGTTTTGTTACAGTAAAAAACTCTCAGAAACAATCACATATAACTTTTTTGCTACAGTGAAAAGCTTTCACATAAAGTCACATCTCAACTCAAATTAAAAACTCGAATCAACGAGCTAAACGGCTCCTAAGTCTCCGAGCTAAAGTTAAAATTTCATTTTGGTCCTTAATTTTCATGAGAATGACTCAAATTTATAAAATTGTTCTGAATTAGTCTTCAAAATCTTGAAAGAAAAAGGCACGCAAGGATCATGTATTAATTTATTGGAGATTAATTTTGTAATATTACGTATTAGTGCAAGGCTGTTAAAAAAAAAAAGGTCGTGACATGTAGAATACAGATGGGCAGAAAGAGTAATTTGCAACAACATTTTGTAATTTTGGGAGTCATTTTGTAATTTGTTAAAAGTTAGTGATCAAAATGAGATGCAATTTTTTCACTGTAGAAGAGTCGGGTTCCAACTTCCAAACACAACCAGAGAGAGAGAGAGAGAGAGAGGGGGGGATCAGAAAAGCAAGAATGGGGGATTATCACTTCGTGTACAAGGACGTAGAAGGAGCGTCTACGCAGTGGGACGACATTCAGAGAAAGCTCGGGAATCTTCCGCCCAAGCCACCGGCCTTCAAGCCTCCGCCGTTCACTGCCGCTGAAGACGAAGCCTCTCTTCCGAAGGACAAGTCTTGGATCGACTGGAAGACCGAAGACGAGCTCGAAGACCTCGAAGATGACGCCAATCTTGACGACGATCGCTTTCTCGAAGAATACAGGTAATTTGGTCCCTTCTTTTCTATCATTTCCGATTTAACAATTGTTCTCTCTTTTTCTTATCAATTTGGCTCCGAAAAGAACATGATTAGGAGGAGATTTTGGAATTTAATTAAATCAACTTTTGAACTTTCTGGAAATTTGTTTACTTTAGTGTTTGAGATACAATTTTCCTTTTAGTTTACTGGCAGCTTTTCAGGAAATTTGTGCATATGATCTAAATCTGATTTGTTGAGAATTAGTTTACTTGTAAATTTATAGAAATTTGAAAATATAAATTTGATGTGTGGAATTATTGATTACGAATTTGTGATTTCTTTAGGTAACAAAGCATATTTGATTAGGAATTTGTGAAAAGGAATGCTAAAAATAATAGGTTCTTAATACTTGTAAATGACATTAAAAACTATTTGAATCATTGAATACAAAAACGCACTATCGGATGTTGAAGCATATAGAAAAATTGATGGTTTTTTTATTTACCTCCTGCCCGGGCAACAGAACGAGGTCAGTCATTTTGGCCGGAATCCGATCAGCCAGCTGAGAAAACTAAAGGAAGTTTGGGGTTGTTTTTTTTAACTCGTCCTCTCTCCACACTCACGCAGAGCACCCACACGCACATACACACACCCACGGGGTTAAAAACCAAATCCCCCCTTGTTTATTTCTTTTGTCTGCCCCTTAATCAAAATGGGCCTTGTTGGGCCTTCACCGAAAGGTTGGGATAGAGAGAGGAAATTGGCCCAATGGGCTGACCAAATATTTAGAGAGAATGAGTCCAAGAGTCCCAAGCATATTAGTGATAAATTTGTCCATCCCATTATGGCCCTTGTTATAATGCCATGCATAAACCATATTATAATATAATTGTCCATAAAGCCATGCTCTAATTTGTGATATATTTGAGTGAATTAACAATGATTTGTACTAATCCATATAAATATTCCAACATTCTCCCACTTAGACAGTACAAATCAAACGACAAACATACATTCACTTAATATAAAATGTCCACAAACAAAGATCTCACACAAGAGCCAAATGCACAAAACAATTATGCATAACAATGTATCGACAGGATACAAATATTATACACAATCATTCTTTCGAGATTCGTAGAGTATCACAATGACAATTATCTGGATCCAATAACAAAACGAGATTAAAACCAAATGTCTCCAACCAACTTGTCACTTTGCATATAAACATGTGTGCATAACATACAACAAAGTGACAATGATCCATAATATGCATGTATTATGTATAACACATAAGCAGTCCTCACAAAATAACATGTCATTCATACATCACATGGTGGACTCCCACTAAATCAATACAACTCTAGGCTCCTAACAATCTCATATTAGAGACGTGCTCCTGAAACACACATATAGGTAAGCCTTTGGTTATTGGGTCCGCCAACATGTTATTGGTAGGCGTGTATACAACATCGATGAGGCGTTCTGCAACTTTCTCTTTAACAAAATAATACTTGACATCAATGTGCTAGGAGCGAGAAGTGCTCCTAGCATTGTGAGAGAAAGATACAACTGCGGAATTATCACAAAAGAGTTTCAGCGGTCTATGAATTGAGTCAACAACTCCTAAAGCTGAAACGAAATTCCGTAGCCATATCACATGACAAGTAGCCTCATAACACGACACATACTCTGCCTCCATGGTCGAGGAAACTGTAAGTGTCTGTTTAACACTTTTCCACGAGACAGCTCCTCCTGCCATCATAAAAGTATATCCAGAAGTGGATCTCTTGTCATCCACGCAGCCTGCATAATCGGCGTCACAAAAGCCAACAATATCAATAGTGTCGGAACGCCTATATGTCAACATATGATCTTTGGTACCCTGAAGGTACCTCATGACTTTCTTAGCCGCTTTCCAATGGCTTATTCTAGGATCACTCAAGTATCTGCCGAGCATGCCCACAGCAAATGCGATATCAGGTCGCGTGCATACCTGAGCATACATAAGGCTGCCAACAACTTATGCATACGGGACAACTTTCATCTGATCTCTTTCTTCATCATTCTGTGGACATTGGGCCTTGGAAAACTTATCACCCTTAACAATTGGTGCCTTACCAGAAGAACAAGAGTGCATGTTGAACCTCTTTAGAACACGATCAATGTAGGTTTTCTAAGACAATCTGAGAATACCATTAGCCCTATCTCGAAGGACCTGTATTCTCAAAACATAAGAGGCTTCGCCAAGATCCTTCATATCAAAATGGCAAAATAGCATTTGCTTTGTCTCAAACAACAGGTCGGTGTCATTAGAAGCAAGCAGAATATCATCAACATACAGGACCAGAAATATGTAACTGCTTCCATTGACCTTCATATATATGCACTGATCAACAACATTCTCCTTGAAACCATTGACGGTGACTATATGATCAAACTTTAAATACCACTGCCTTGATGCTTGCTTTAATCCATAAATGGATTTCTTGAGCTTGCAAACTAAATATTCCTTACCAGAAGCTTCAAAACCAACCGGTTGAGACATGTAAACATCCTCATTCAAGTCTCCATTCAAGAACGCAGTTCGCACATCCATTTGATGAAGCTCTAAATCAAAATGAGCCACAATTGCCATGATAATCCTGAATGAGTCTTTAGTGGAAACTGGTGAGAATGTTTCTTTATAATCAACACCTTCTCTCTAACTAAATCCCGTAGCGACAAGCCTAGCTTTAAACCTTTCCACTCGTCCTTCAAAGTCACACTTGGTCTTGAATACCCACTTGCACCCAATGGGTTTACAACCCCGTGACAATTCCACTAAATCCCACACATCATTCTGTGACATAGAACTCATCTCTTCTTCATGACATCTATCCAGAATGAGGATTGAGAACTACTAATGGCTTCCTGATAAGTGATTGGGTCAGAAGCACCACTAATGTCATACTCATGTTCCTACAAATAAACAATATAGTTATCTGAGACTGCAGGTCTAGAACCTTCTGTGACCTCCTTAAAATAATATCACCACCATCTGTATCTGGCATCTCCCGCACTGCCTGATCCGTGGGTACATCATGAGTGACATCTTGTTCTACATCAATCGCTGGACTAGCCACTGGAGCATTAAACACAGGTGTATGGGGACAATAACACGTTCTTCCCTAAATACGATCTCTCTTGGTCCTTGACTGGAAGAAGAATCATCCTTAAGATAGATTACTCTGTCAGACTCAATCACTCTGGCGGTGTGATTTGGGCAGTAAAACCTCGAACCTCTTGATCCGACACAATAACCAACAAAGAAACCACTAATGGTCTTCAGATCAAGTTTCTTGGATTGCGGATTATAGGGTCTCACTTGGAGTAGTGGCTGGCTTACACCCAATCTTCCCTGTCTCTGCTAATAGGTCAGTCACGTACTTTTACTGAGATATGAAAATCCCTTGTGTAGAATATGCCACCTCAATACCGAGGAAGTACTTCAGTTTCCCTAGCTCCTTTATCTCGAACTCTCTTACTAATCTTTGCTTCGGTTCATGCTTCTCTCTTTCATCATTTCCAGTCACTATGATGTCGTCCACATAGACTAGAAGAGCAGTCACTCCCCCTGCGGCCGAGTGCCTAATGAAGAGAGTGTGGTCACCTTGACTTTGTTCATAACCGGACTCCTTCATTACCTTTGTAAATCTCCCAAACCATGCTCTAGGAGATTGCTTTAACCCATAAAGGGCCTTTCTCAGCTTGCACACTTTGTTACTTGTGTCCCCCTCAAATCCCGGTGGAATATTCATGTAGATTTCTTCATCTAAGTCACCATGGAGAAATGCATTCTTGACATCATACTGTAGTAGCTGTCAATTGAAATGAGCTGCTAGTGATAGCAAAATTCTCACAGTATTCATTTTTGCGACTGGAGCAAAAGTCTCCTAATAATCCACTCCATAAGTTTGAGTGTATCCATTGGCCACTAATCTTGCTTTATATCTCTCCAGAGATCCATCAGCCTTGTATTTCAGTGTGAAAATCCACTTGCAATCAACAACATTTTTTCCCTTTGGTTTATCAACAATCTCCCATGTTCTATTCTTTTCTAATGCACTCATCTCCTCTCGCATAGCCTCCCTCCATTCCGCTTTTGACAATGCCTCAAAAACAATATTAGGGATAGCAATGGTGTTTAAACTCACAATGAACTTTTTGTGGGCTGATGACAGGCGCTTAAGGGAGACATAGTGAGATAGTGGATAGATTGGATGTTTAGTACCTCTCGGGGACCTTTTCTGACGGCAATAGGAAGGTCGAGGTCATCTGTTGGATCAGTGAATCTTTCAACCTGTTGTGTGTGTAAGGGTGGATTAGATCTTACCGTGATCTCATTCCCAGAGCCTGAGTTGGATTCTTAGACTTGTGGCGGTTCTGGAGTAGCCTTTCTCCTTGAATACACTTGAGAGAACCTTGGAAAATTGTGAGTGACACTGGCTGGGACAGGAGGTGACACGGGTTCAGAGGCAGAACGGGGTGACTCAGAAGTGGTTGGCTCAGAGGACTCTGGTTCAACAACACGACTTGGAACACAAGGAAGATCAAGAGTGTTTAGGGGTTCAAATGACTCACAAGGACTATCTTCCATTATTGGAATCTCCCCCTGAAGAGAGGACTTGGAAAAGAAAGGTTTGTTTTCTGTGAAAGTGACATCGGTAGAGATGTGGAATTTTCTGGATGAAGGGTTGTAACACTTGTACCCCTTTTGTGTGGATGAGTAACTGAGGAAGACACATTTGGTGGCTCGGGGATCTAGCTTGCCTCTATGTTGGCTGTGGACATGGACAAAGGCAGTGCATCCAAAGACCCGTGGTGTGAGACCATTTGAGGTTCTAAAGTGAGGATAGAAAGTATTGAGGATTTCTATGGGACTCTTGTTTCACGTGAGGGAAGTCTATTAATCATGTATGTGGCTGTAAGAACTGCCTCTCCCCAATAGGACTTAGGAACATTCCCTTGAAAGAGTAAGGCTC